TACATATATGGGAAAAGGAAAAATTCCCCACCAGATGGGATCGAGGGGGAAAATCAAGTGTTAAAGCCCACTGTCTGGTAAAAAAAAGCTAAGGAATGTCTACTTCTGTACCAGACATTTTATTCATTTCCATTCCACCAAGATTGTGATTGACGAGTGGTTTGGAAAGGAACTTAACTACCTTGTACTGACTTTAAAAAAAAAAAAAAAAAAAAAAAAAAAAAGCAATGCCTATTTTATCATACCATCATTTCTATTATGACTGGCTGATGACTGCAAACCAAAGGATGGAGGCTGCTAGTTGAGACAGTCTGTATAGACCAGCAGTGCTTAACCTTTTGTTGTTACAGGCTGGGTAAGTGGTGCAAAGCTGGTCCACAGGCTAGTTTAGGAACCACACCACCAAGTAAATTGAGGCCCTGCACTGCTTCCAGTTGGCCCCTGGCTGCCTAGATCAGACCCAGGCCACCTTCGCACTCTGATCTACCATGTGATCTGGCCAACAGGGCCAGAAGTTTGGCAGCAAGGGAGCAACAATTGCTGCTGCTGCTTCCCGAATGCCGGATTTTCAGACCCATAGGGAGCCTGTGGGCTGGGGGTTGAGCCCCCCGGTACAGATCATAACTTTACTTCTGCGGATTTTCGTAGCCCTAGGAAATACGACTAGAAAAGCGCCAGCTCAAAAACGAAATAAGAAACACTTCTGGGTGACGGGTCAAAGCGGGTTCAGGCTTTAGGAGCCTTTGGCTTCATCTGTGCTCAAGTTTTATCTATGCAGTTGTATCATTTTATATATCACTGCATACACCATCATTACGTGCGTGTATGTGTATGCACACGTCTATGTAGATACAGTGGTGTAGGCTGTAGCCGTGTTGGTCTAAAGACATAAGCAGACCAGGTCTAATAAAAGATATCGGGTTCACCCAAAGAACCTTGTCTGCCTATGCACACACACATATCTCACTGCATACACCAGCGTTATATGAAATGATACAACTGCATAGCCAACTGCAATATAAACAGCATCTCCATTAGGAGCTTGCAGTGATGCCGACCCAGACAAACCCAACTGTAACCTTGGGAGCGCAGGGCTGGAGCTCCCAATGCCGCATGCAACCAAAAAAAAAAAAAATGGAGACATTTAACAACACCCCCCCACCCCAAACCACCACTCACTCAATACTGACTTATTGTCAGCCATGAATACCAAACTCAGCTCTTCCCCTAGGCTGCACTTCTGCCAGCATCCCTCCTCCCAGCCCCAAGAGCGCTCCCCAGCAAAACGCTCCAGCTGAACTCCCGACGGACGGCGGCAGCGGCGGGAGCAGGAGCACAGACACCGACAGCTCTGCAAACCGCCTTCCTATTCTCTGCGCAGAACGAAGCCCACAGCAGAGAGACACCTCCTCGGGGCTTCAAAACCCCCGTCTTGCAAGCTCGTTTCCACTGAAGTCACGGGGATCCCCCCCACCCGTACAGCAGCTTTGCAGGGCCTGCTGCTCAGACAGCATCCTCCTACGTGAGAGAAGCTCACACAGGCTTTGAGGGGAAAAAAATAAATACATAGGAAAAGGAGAGAGGTCTTCCCGAATCTGGGCTTTACATAACCCAGAAGGACCAGAGAGAGGACACGGACACGCTCCAGCCCAAAAGCATTCGAGGCGACCGCGGAGATGCCGCCGGAAACCGATCAGGCAGAGGTCGGGCACGAAAAGACGAGTCCAGCCTCACC